CAAATTTGGTTTTCCTGTTGATATGCAAGTCACGGTGTCAGAGAATAAAATGAATTCCTGGAATGTTTCATCTTGGAGTAGAAAGATAGCTTATATATAAAGGTCATTAAAAGCTTCTTGGCCTCCTGCTTGCAAACTGGGGGCCTGTGGCCTGGATCCCCACGAAACATCTCTTCCCTTTGTCGGAGAGAGCCAAAAATTAATTTCTGACTCAAAATGGTTCCTCTTATCTACCCTCTCCCATTTCCAAATATTCCTTCAAGAAAGTAAGGGAAGCAGAACTGGGGAGACCCAGCCCTGGGAATTGGGCATCTATCCCCTTTCCTTGTCACAAAGGTTTGTCTATTTGACTTCTATTGTATGTTTCTGCACAGAGAAACTCGTCTTTCTTCTTGGTGCGCTTCTGTAGTTTCTAGACCAATTGTTTTCTGTTCATTGGACTTACCCAGCCAAATATGTCAGGCACTGTACCAGAGATTAGGGCTATAAGGCTAGATAGGGCAGCGTCCCTGCCCTCATGAGTTCAGAATCTAAGAGGAATGACCTCAACATGGAGGACTTGAGGGAGAAAAAAGAGGGATACCATGTACAAAAGAGGGGCATCGGTGACACATGTGGAACTGAAAGGCTAAATTTGATTTAGAGTTGGCCCCTTTTTAAAGGATCAATCTGGGTATAGACTTCAATGGTAATAATTATTTCCAATTTAGGTAGAAGGACTAGCTAAAGGGTTTTTAGATTTCTGAAAAAGGTTTTGAATGTATTGGTAAATGGTGGGAAGGAGGAAGGAAGTTAGGGGAAGGTAAAGTTCCCAGAAAACATTTAATCTACTGAAAGATCATTTGGCTTTGCATGATTTTAAGATTGCCTCATGTCCGCTCAGGAGGCAGTTTGTCTGATTGGGTGGCCCATGTAAAGAACATACGTTTTAATAGTTGCCATGTAACTTTGGATAAGCCATTTAGATCACATAAGTATCCCAGGATCTTCCATAAAATGGGGTCATTAGGGAAACCTGCTCACTCCTTAGGTAAAGTTTAGATATTAGAAGAGCCATAAAAGATTGGCTGCTCTTTAGAAAGGAGTAGAGGAAAGGATTAGAGAAAAGTTGGTAGAGGTCCTGTTGGGATGCGAACCTTTTCTTATTCCTGGAGAATCTTTAACCTGAGGGAGGAGGAATTGATTGAGTTAAAAAAGTAGTAATTTAGAAATAGCTTTGTTAACTCTTCTTTTCCTAGAAGAAATATAATATGTTTAATTCACACTTTTAAAACATAAAGAATGGGGAATATAAGATTTTTTATAAGTATGTAATACAAAATGTGTTTCAGTACTGCATTATATCCAGTCAAGTCAGAAAGAGACAAACAAAGAAATATAGAAGGTATAGATTGAGATCAAGGAAGAGAAAATGAAATGCAGAGGGAATGATGGAGGACTGGTCTGGGTCTGCTGCCTTTAAGACCCATTCTCCTCTTTTTTTCTCTACTGCCTCAAAATCTTCTTTCTAGATTTTTTTTTTGAGATTCTTTTCAAGACCCAGCACGCTGGGCAACTCACAATCCCCATTCTTAACCAGCCTTGTTCCTCAAAGACTTTAGTCTTTTGGAAGGTAATTTTCATCAAATGGCTGGTATCTACTGCCTTTTGAGCATGACAGCTCCTGAGAACCTCACAACAGCAGTAGTGCCTTCCTCCCTTTTGGGGATAGTGGGACTAATGATTTAAAGATTAACATAGGAATTCTCAGGAGGGCACACACTTGTCCATGTTCAGTTGATTCACCACAGAATTTTAGATGCTTGCATTGGGGTGGACAGAATTTTTAATCACATCCCTTTTCTCCCTGAGAGTTAGTCCATTAAAAATATTAATCATTTTTTGAATGTGGCCTCTATGTTTAGCAGTGTCTGTCACTTATTGATTGTGTAGGATGTGTCTGACCAGTGCTTGATGATTTATATAATAAAATCTTTGCAACAATTCTATGATGTAGATAGTATTACAGTTTTAAAGACCAAGACCCCAAGGCTCTAAAAGTTAAGTAATTTTGCACAAGATCACACTACTAGTGAGAGACAGAGCCAGGATTCACTATAGCATATTAAGTACACACACACACACACACACACACACACACCCCGACTCCCACAGGACTTGAGCAAATGATGAAAGTGTTTAAGTAAAACCTTTGGGTATAGAGTAATTTGACCTAGGTGGTGAATTGGAAGGGTTTTAGATGTGGTCTGAATAATTCCTTCTCTGAAGTTAACCACAATAACAGTTCATTTTTGGTTTCTTTGCCAGCTGCGACTCCCTAGTTACTTCCTTTTCCAGCGGTTGGAATTAAGTGACCGATATAAGGTGACATAAGAGTTAAGAGTAGATTATAGTGTTAGAATTCACAGTCTAAAAAGTAAATGTTCTCTTGCTTGCTCCCTGAGAGGGCCCTCTTCTATGCTTTTGGGATCCAGTACATGCTACTTTACTTCATGAGAGGGCACAGATTTTAGAGTATGAAGGAAAATCTGCCATTGTGTGCCAGTGAATTCCAGATCATTCTAGAAAGTGAGATTCTTATTAGAAGCAAGTGTGTGACTCAAATTTAGGATCTACTTTGGCTTTCCCTCAAATACTTGTGGGGTTTTTTAGTAATTATATATATATATTTTTTCAATTGAAGAAATTGGTCTGCAGTTGTTGGAAATGGGGGGAAAAGGTAATTTGCAGCAGAAAAGAATAAGGTTTCCCAGGTAGGATGTTGTGGTAACAGAGGGTGCCATTGTTCTAAGTGAATACTTTCTTACGAATGGAGGAGACTTTCATTCTTTACTCTACTAGACCCAAATTTTAGCAACCAGATGTTGGGAAAGAGTTTTGTGATGCCATTTTGAAGTTGCTTTAATTAGACATGCTAAGGCTCATATAGAGTATAAACTCCTGTCCCCTGATGACAGCCTTACCCTGCTTCATGTTGTGTCATCACGAAGGTGGCATTAGCCACCTTGAGTGTGCATGTCTAGAACTCCATAAATGTGGAGTAGCTTTAGAGAGAAAAATAAAACATGAGGAGGCTCTGGTCAGTGGGTGTGTTATTTGTAAGTAGGAACTCCTCAAAATGTTAGAGTCACTTGAGAAATTAAACTGGAATGTAGTATCAATACTGAGGGACATTTATCAGAGGAACTCAAGGCAGAAATAGCTGAGGCTGTAGAAAAATAATGTAATTTATCATTTTTATATTACTATCATACTCCATGCCTGGAAAGTGGCCAAGATTGTACCATCTTTTATAGGAATGTAGAAAGAGAAAGATTGATCTCCTAAGTTATAAGTCACTGAGTCTTGCCACAATTCCGGAAAAAGTAAGAGAATTCGTGGAAGATGAGAGACAAGCATTTTAGACAGTACCCAACTCTTTGACTGTCTGCAGGAGACTCTAGCCAGAATTCAGACTGCAAGAGTAGTCCTTACCAGTTTCTGTACCTCCATTTTGGGAAATCAGAAATAAATTGGGGGATGATATGGGAAACACAAAATGCATTTGCTAAGATTTCATGAAAACTGTTCTAGGGAAAAAAGAAAAAGACAATTAAGGAAATGGGATGAAGGGGAAAATTCTGATCTTAGCATTAAATCTAGTTAGCAGGCATGGGGCAAAGGGCAGAAATAAATAACCAGGTTTTATACAGAAAGAAACTAACAGAATGTCCTTAGATTTAATAGTAGAAGCAGTAATTGTAGCATGTGAATCACTTACATTGAAGAGCAGAGTAACCCTGCTGAAAAAACCAGCATAAGATTTTCTGCTTAAATAAGGCTGGATCCCTGTCTTAGGTACAATGGCAAGGTTTCCGAGAAGAGATGTGTCTATGGCTACCTATCAAATTTTGTTGAAATTCACTATCAAGTTCAAAATGGCCTTTACTTAGCAAGTAGAGAAGGGTGCTGAATCTGAGTCCTCCAGTCCGCCGGCATTTGCTGAAAGCCTAGCGCTTTCACTGCCATGACCAGCACACTGAGGAAGACACAAAAGAAGTAGGCAGAATCTCTGCCTCTGCTTAGGAGCATGCAATTTAGTTGGGGAGACAAAGCTTAAATACTAGAACCAATAAAAGAAGATTACAAAGCAACCTGCATGTAAGTGTATAATAATATGGGGCAAATGACACAGATAAATGCAGAGGGGGCATGCAGGAAAGACGAGTAAGCAAAACACAACACTGTCAGATTAGTTAGGAAAGGCATGTTGCCTAACAGTAGTATAGTCTCCACATCCTTTCTGTAGCATCTGCAAGGAATAATGTGGGATAGGAAGTTCAGATACGCTGCATTGATCCCTTCCTCCTTATCTGCAGAGTCTTTCCGTCTATCACAGAGGGAAATTAAATTGATCCAACAGTTTGCTCTCCACAAAGCCATGTTGGTTTCTACCTAGTAATTTATGCTTTTCTTGGTGTTTGCAAATCGATTGCTATTATGGGAGGCAGACAAATCTGGGCCTGGATCCAATAGGTTGGGGGATTATTGGAGTGGATATGTGTGCATGCACATGAAATACTGTAAAAATGGACTCTCATTTCTGTGTATTTTACTCATTAAATAAAAACATTTTCAGATTTTTTAAAGCATATTTAATTACACTGAGATTGCATTTTTAGGGAATGTATCTGCTTTATTTGATATTGCTACTGTCAGGCCCAACCTTCGAACCACCTTCAGTGGCTTTGTAGCCAGACCTTTTGTTTCAAAAAAGCCTTCCTCTACCCCAAGAGTCTTATAGATCTATACTTTTTCCTTTTGACACAGAAATACGTACAGACATTCACCTAATTTGATAAATAAAATGTTGCTGCTGAAAGGTTTGGGAAAGTATACTTTATTTAAACACTGAACTTCATTGTTGTACCTTAAAAAAATTTTTTTTAAGTCCTTCTGAGGATTATGAAATTCTTTCAAAACAAATTAAAGAGAAAACATTTTCTGTGATTTCTTTACAGATTCTGGACAATCAGGAAGTCCAAGCCACAACGATCCTGCCAAGAATCCTCCAGGTAAATATGTGTTCTGGGACATTCGCAATCTGACATTGTTGGAGAACAAAGGTACCACTGTATAGATAAACACCCCATAATTGGTCAGCTGCCTATTTTGTTCTGGCAGGCAGGTATGATCGGGACAAGATGTGATTCTGTTTAGGCCGTTCACAGTGGCAAATACTTCTATATTGGCGTCATGAGTATGTACCTAATCACCAACGTTTTAATTTTTGTTGGTGTTTTTTTGAACATGAATATGCATGTGTTTGAGTTGTGTCTCTGTTAGGTGCTAAAAGTCATTATTGTCTGAAAAGCCAAAAAACCTTTTAATCTTTCTTTTAAAATGCACAAGAGAAAGTAAAAATTTCCATACTCTTATTATAGTTTATCAAGTCTCATTACTTTAAAAGGGGCTTGTGGTGGTGGTTGGTTACGTTTTCAGTGAAGGATTTTTGCAAACGAGTTTTTATTCCATAAGGTTTTTATTGGATTCCCAGAATCAGGAAATAATGAAAGTAGGACTTTTCCTTTAATATAACGTATGCCAACTACCCTCTTTATTTTCAGAAGTTGTTCCAGATCTGAAAATGGGCTTTTGTAACTTGGCTGTCTTCATGGTTTTGTTGCTCCTAAATCTGAACATGTAGAATTTTGATGTTGATTCAGTAGTGTCTTTTCTCATGAGATAAAACTAGTGTGAAGAAGAATTTCTAGTATTTCATATTCATAAAAATTTTAATTGTATCTGTGACTTTGGTAGAAAAAGTGCTCTAAGAATAACAAAAACAAAACAAAACAAAACAATCCAAACTAACCACATATGCCCTCCACTTCCCAGAATAATCTCATCTGTCTTTTCATTGAAAATAAACCAAAATATTTATAAGATGTAATAATAAAAATTTCCTCAGGTAGACTTAGCTTTAGGTTCTTAATTGTTTGATCTTCCCTGTCGTTATGCTTTGCTAATGTGAGGTAGAAATACCTGAAGAACCCCTAAACTACAAGAAAATATACCGGACCAATCTTGTTTTAAAATGTTTGAAAGATACAGCAAGTTAATATGCAAGTAAAAATGCAATCAAAACAATGTATTTTTTCTGAGTCTTGCCTGTTGTTTTGTTCTTTAGTTTCATCGTAGAAAAATTATCTTTTTCCAACTACATATTAATTTATTCTGTATTGTACAAAATCATATTGTTTGATAAAAGTAGTATATACTTCAAAAATAAGTTCTAATTAAATATAGATTTAAAAATGTGTATAAGTTGATTTTTCTTTGGTCTCATCAAAATCATTTAATATTACTACAAATTGATAACAAAACATTAAAAAAACTGAGCAATTTTGAATGTAATTTTCAGTTAAATGTATTATTTTATTTTTTGTGCAGATGGGAGATTAGAATCAAAAAGACAAAACTATTAAGAATATAATAAATTTTGTCAGAAATTTTCTGAAGTTGAGAAAATTTCGTTAGCTTATAATGTCTTTAACTTTACAAAATTTCTTCTCTTTAGTTGACTAATTTTTTCTCCATGTAGCATGATAGCCAAAAGTGAATGGTATCCAAACATTTTTTGTGAGCTTCCTCACTCATTTTACAAAGAATGGTGTGATGTGGGGGTGGGGGTGGGGGGACCTTTACTAGAAAAAGTTGATAAGTATTGTAAGTCAGACTAAACAAAGGATATGTCCTTTGCATTTGAATAACAGCTTGATTTGAAATTAATAAAGCTGTTATTGTTTGAAATGCATTTCTGAACATGTACAGAAAGAATTGTGCTCACTTAAAAATGTTCTCTACTTGAGCTGAATAATCTTTCAATAGTTATGTAATGTCAGAATTCGATTTTTCAAATCTGTCAAGAAGCTTGGTTAAATTTTTCTTTTGCTACATTCAATGTAGCATCTCAATTTATCTGTTTGCATATAATATGCAAACAGAAGCAATCAAAGTAGAACACCTCTAATTTTTTTTCTTTTTTCAAAAATTTTCCTTGGAAATCTAACCTTTTTGAGAACTATGTCTTAAAACGGATGTTGTAGATAAATGCATATTAAAATTAGTTGAATATTGTATATATGTAAATTGTACATCAATTACCAGTTTTTTAGAGTTAGAATATAATAAAACATATATAATACCAAAATTAAATGAAATAGAATTTTCTTTGATGATTTAGAAGCATTTCATCATTTTTGCATGTTTTGTGTATCATTATATCATGGACTTAATCATAGAGATTCTTGAGGAATTCTGTTTGGTGAAAGTAAGAGTTTGCTCTGTAATACCTTGAAATAAATCAAGTCACTAGGAATATAGAATAGTTTCTAATTTGAAATGTGAAAAATGAGAACTTATTAACGTTTTGTTCCATAGTCAGTTGGGATAAATTACACTTTGATTAAAAGCTCTTTTAATAAGTATAGGCATGTTTGGTATTACAGAGCCTAATTTATCTTTGGGAGTCTCTTTTCATCTCTGTATTCTGACTTTGGCGGAAGTGTGAAATCTCCAAAGTTCAGATTCAGAAGAAGGCACAATGCATTTATGGGAAAAATCAATTTACTATCGTAAACAATAAAACAATCAAATCACTTTGCTGTTTGTATTGTTATAACAAAGAGAAGCTAAACTTTTGAAAGAGATCACCTTGAGTGCCAACACTTTCTTATCGCTGGTAGTTTTTCACTGGGAGATGTGCAGCCCATGGACATTGCTACCATGTACTCCTGTCTTTATTTCCTAACAACTTGGGAAGAGATGGCAAAAATTCAAGCCCTTTTGAAGGTAACAGTCTTTGAAATCTGTTCCCCACAGTTGACATGAAGGCGGAATCCCATCCAATCCTCCCATAAGTACAGATGCAAGTGTATGTACACAAACTGAGTACCCCCTCTAGCTCTGCTCTTCTCCAGGCTCAGACATGACTGTCTGATATGGAGACCACCTCCTTGCTCCTTCAGAAGAACTTCTGAAGGGTCACCTTAAAGCTCTTCAAAGTGTAGTGTGGATGTTTACAGATAGGTCTTTAGTTGTTAATTTGTGTTTCTTGATTGGGATTAGTACTTAGTCAGCAAATTAAGCAGGAGGAAACAAAAGCAACACACTTTGGGGAGGAGGGAATATGATGTTTGTTATTTTTAAAAAGATTTAAATAGTTTTTTGTTATTTTAAAAAGCATTTAAATAGTTTTATACTATTTGTGATTTAATATTCTGTTTTTATTCTTTGTTACCTGGTGGGATGGGCACCATAATCTCTTCAGGGCTAAGGTGCTCTAAAAGTCTGATGGTACCCAAGGACGTGACATTGTTATTTCGGTCAAGAAGCACTAGAAGGAAACACAAGAAAAATATGTGCATCTTTTTACCATGCACATATCCCTTGTTTATGATGGAATCAGCAGTTGTATGTTTATATTCAGTTACTTCTTTTTAAATATTAAGTGAATCCCTTCTAAGCAATAGAACTACAAGAATCCTCCCTCAACTATAGCAAACAACTGTTGTGGACCAAAGGAGGGTAAACCATTAATTTAGAGACTTAGACTCAGACCTATTTCCAATAATTAAAAACTCTACAACCACTTTTAGGGAATATGTGATTGGATTGTAATCTTTTGAAATTAGCTTTGACTACTCTATTATTTTGTCTTTACATTCCCTGGGCTATGATCTCCTAGATTTCCCAATCTCAGTCACTTGCCTAATGCTGGAATGGTTAGTATCCAAGGACAATAAGGCAATCTAGAGGCTGGATTTTGCGTCTAAGTCATTTAGAAGCTGATGCCTCATTTTGGAGTTCAGGAAGGCTGTAGTTTTGTGGGGAGCTCTCCCTTATGGCTGGAAATATAACAAAGAAACATTGAATGCTCGGAGAGTTTTTGCAAATTCTTTGATGAAAACTTATGAAGTATTCTACGTATCATTAACCAGAGCTTTCTTACCTGGAATGACATTGACTTAAAATCCTACTTTTCTTTTTTGCAAATTTCATAGGATGCTGTTGCTATTTTGTGGGTTGACTTTTGCATGTAGTCTGGTAAAACCTCTGGGAACCATTAGGATCATATGTTGGGTGAATGTAAAATAAGCCATCTTATATCCTCTCTGGAACAAAGATGGAACTCAATAAATAATTGAGGAATAATTGAGGAAATTAGACAAGGAATATCTATTAACTATGACAATATACTTTCTTTTAAAAAATTATTTTATTATATATATATGTGTATATATATATATGTGTGTGTATATATATATATGTGTATATATATTTAGATTCTACATGTAAGAGAGACCAAATAGTATTTGTCTTTCTCTGTCTGACTTATTTCACTTAGCATAATGCCCTCAAGGTCCATCCATGTTGTCACAAATGGCAAGATTTCATTCTTTTTTGATTGAATAATATTCCATTGTATATATATACCACATCTTCTTTGTCCATTCATCTATTGATGGACACTTAGGTTGTTTCCTTATCTTTGCTATTGTAAATAATGCTGCAGTGAACATGGAGGTGCACATATCTTTTCAAGTTAGTGTTTTTGTTTTCTTCGAATAAATACCCAGAAGTGGAATTGCTTGATAATATGGTAGTTCTATTTTCAATTTTTTGAGGAACCTCCATACTGTTTTTCATAGTGGCTGCCCCAATTTTACATTCCCACCAACAGTGCACGTGAGTTCCCTTTTCTCCACATTCTCACCAACACTTATTTCTTGTCTTTTTGATAATAGCCATTGTAACAGGAGAGGTGATATCTCATTGTGGTTTTGATTTGCATTTCCATAATAATTAATGATGTTGAGCACCTTTTCATGTACCTGTTGGCCATCTGTATGTCTTCTTTGGAAAAATGTCCATTCAGATCTTCTGCCCATTTTTTAATCGGATTGTTGGTTTTTTTGCTATTGAGTTATATGAGTTCTTTATATATTTTGGATATTAGCCCCTTATCAGATATATGATTTGAAAATATTTTCTCTTATTCAGTAGGTTGCAT